AGACAGACAGACAGACAGACAGACAGATGGACGGACAGACAGACAGAAAAGACAGACCGAGACAGAAAAGACAAACAGACAAACAGACAGACAGACAGAGACAGAAAAGACAGACAGAGAACGAACAGGGAGGGGGGGTGAGATGCCTTACCTCTCCGCCGAGGCGTGGTGCGTCGTCCCGTGCGAGCCGCCGACGGCGTAGATCATGTTGTCGATGACTCCGACACCCACCCTGTTCCGCGCCACCGTCATGGGCTGTTTGGGAATCCACACGTTCCGCATGGGGTCGTACATGTCCAGACTGTTGGAGTCCATGTTGCCGTCCGGGGAATTGTTCCGTCCGCCGATCACGTAGATAGCACCGCGCACCAGACACGCCCCGAGGCCGCTCCGAGGTGTGGGTAGGTCCGGCAGCCGCAGCCACTGCTTGTTCACAGGGTTGTAGCACTCGAAGTTGCTCAGCGACTGTCGGAGGTAGCCGCCGGCGCAGAACACCACCAGCGGGGCGCACGGCCTTCGGGGCAAGTCAGAACACTTCTGGTGGAGCTTCAGACCTTTCAGTTTCTCCGAGATGGTGTGCAAGCACTGCGGCATCTTCTTGAGTATGTGGCAGCTGTTGAGCTGCTGCTCCAGGAATTTCGGGGCCAGGAAGTTGAGCCGCACGGAGGAGAGCAGACCCTCGAGGATCTCTAACCGCTTCTCTGGGTCGTGCTCCACCCAGCGTATGACGGCTTTAAACACCTCCGACTCGCACTGCACGTTCAGCTCGTCCTGCTTCACCAGACTGATCATCTGGCACGGGGAGAGCACCAGAAACTCGTCGCACTGGATGACCTCGCAGAAGTGTTTGCGGATGTACTTGCGCGCTTTGTTCTCCAGCTCCAGGCAGCCGTGCTCGCTGGCGAAGTCTGCGATGCCGATACAGTTGCTGGGGTCGAGCTGGTGCTCCAGGAACACGGTGCACGCCTCCACCACGTGGTTCATCTGGAACATGGTGGCGGCTGGCAGAAGGTAGCACACGTTGTTCTCGTTGATGTTCACCTCGGCCGTGTAGGCAAACTCCACCAGGCGGCTCAGCGTGCAGGGCGAGATGCCGTGGAGAGGGATGGTGGTCATCTCTTCCTCGCGCATCCCGCTGGTGAACATGGCTTTGAAGTAAGGGCTGGCGGCCGCGAGCACGATCTTGTGAGCCAGGATCTTCTCCTCGCCCACCACCAGCGACACGTCGCACAGCTTCTTGGACCGCCGCAGGATGTTCATCACCTCCAGCGCCTCCTTGGGGTGCCTCATGATGGTGAAGTGCATGCTGCCGTCCGCCGGCTTCTCCGTGATCTGTGGCCGCGGTCGGTAGCACGAGGAGGTGGCCGAGGCCTCGCGACATTCCGTGGGCGATTTGTCCGCCCCCTGAGGCCGGGAGCGGAAGGAAGGCGAGGATTTCTCTTTGGAAGACATTGCTGAGGGCAAGCGAGGCCGGGGGAAACAGGCACAACGGAGAGCTCCGAGCTTAGAAAATTTCCAAAAATACACACAAACAAAACTATTTCTTTGCAAACTTCAAAGGGAACTTTGAAAAGACACGGCAATCAAACAGCGCAGGTGATATCCTCCACTGCTCGAGCACAAGCCTGTGAACTGACTGACAGACGGTGTGCGATCCACAGACGGCCAGATCTTGATATAACTCCAGAGAGCTGTGAGATGAATGCTGGTCTCCAACTTTGATATATCTCCAGAGAGCTGCGAGATGAATGATGATCTCCGACTTGATATAACTCCAGAGAGCTGCGAGATGAATGATGATCTCCGACTTGATATAACTCCAGAGAGCTGCGAGATGAATGATGACCTCCGACTTGATATAACTCCAGAGAGCTGCGAGATGAATGATGATCTCCGACTTGATATATCTCCAGAGAGCTGCGAGATGAATGATGATCTCCGACTTGATATATCTCCAGAGAGCTGCGAGATGAATGATGATCTCCGACTTGATATAACTCCAGAGAGCTGCGAGATGAATGATGATCTCCGACTTGATATAACTCCAGAGAGCTGCGAGATGAATGATGACCTCCGACTTGATATAACTCCAGAGAGCTGCGAGATGAATGATGATCTCCAACTTTGATATATCTCCAGAGAGCTGCGAGATGAATGCTGGTCTCCAACTTTGATATATCTCCAGAGGGCTGCGAGATGAATGATGATCTCCGACTTGATATAACTCCAGAGAGCTGCGAGATGAATGATGATCTCCGACTTGATAGAACTCCAGAGAGCAGCAGCAAGAAGAATGCCGGTCTCCGACAGAACCAAAGCGTAAACGTAGAAGTCGCGACCTATACAAACACAGGTCACGTGCAGTGTGTGGGCTGGCAGTTGTCAGGAGACAGGGATGGCGTACGCCAATTCACGGCAGCTTCTGTCAGACGCCAGGAAAACACAGCTCGAGGACACAGGATTCATCTTGGTTTTCTGGGAAGAGAAAAACGAAACATGGAGGTTACTGTAAGGGTGGTCGATCAGCTGGGAAAAGTCTACACGTCCAGAACGTGTCGAAGTGTGAGCAAAGAGAAGCACACCCACACAATAACAGCCATTAAGTGCTGGGGGGAAAAGTAAGACAGACAGATAGGAACAACAGAGGAAAGTAAAGAAAAGAAATAGGACCTACCAGTGGCGCCCTCCAACCACCAGCCTCTTTGCCCAAAACTAACTGCTGAAAATAATATTACAAGTACGGCAAAGAGGCAGAAGAAAAAAATAAGAGAGCAAAATGTTTTCATTTTAGGTAAGTAAGAGTTTTTAAGAGTTTCTTGACACTAGCAACACAAACACGTCAAATAAGTGCCGAAGAATAGCGATGTTACAGGACAGTATCATGGAAAGAAAAGAAAGAGCGGTAAGGCGTCGGTGGTCTAGTGGTTAGGCTCTCGGACTCGCAACCGTAAGGTAGTGGGTTCGAATCCCGTCAGGGGCTCGACGTTGTGTCCTTGGGAAAGGCACTTTACACGAATTTTCCTCATTTCACTCAGGTGGGAATGGGTACCCGGCTATAGACAGCGAAAGATCTTGTCAGTTTGTTAGTGTTTGAGTGCTTAATCAGCTGCTTGCACTGTATGCTTCACGGGAAGCTGAGAATGTTTCGGAGTGTTCTATGGTCTGCTGGGGTAATAATATAGTGTAAAGCGCATAGAGCCTGCTGTTGAGCGGGGATATGCGCTATACAAATGCTATTTATTATTATTATTATTATTATTATTATTATTATTATTATTATTATTATTATTATTATTATTATTATTATTATTATTATTATTAAGGCAAGGCTGATAAATGTGTGATAGGAAAGAGCGAGCAAACCAATCCAGAACACCCGCCAATCACCCACGGCCACCATAATTGTGACTGTCAACGAGAAAGTGGATGCCTTAGACGGGTAGAAATTTTGGACAGTTTTTAAGTGTTTGAGCTCTTAATTGGCGGCTTCCGCGGTTTGCTAACTCGAAACCGAGACAGTTTCTGAGTGATCTGATGGGAAAGGGGGGGGGGGGGGTCTATAAATAATATAGATTGCAAAGAACAAAGAGCATTGCTGCTGAGAGGAAATACGTACAAAACAAAATATGCAACTTGTATTTATTTATTATCTATTTACTATTTATCTATCTATCTATCTATCTATCTATCTATCTATCTATCTATCTATCTATCTATCTATCTATCTATCTATCTATCTATCTATCTATCTATCTATCTATCTATCTATTTTATCCATCCATCTATCTATCTATCTATCTATCTATCTATCTATCTATCTATCTATCTATCTATCTATCTATCTATTTTATCCATCTATCTATCTATTCGTTTATTTATTCGTTTATTCATTTTTATTCATTTGTGTATTAGAAGGGAAAAAACAACAAAAACAAAAACGTATAAAGTTAACACCCTGCATCCGACTCCGTCAACAGACAATCTAGATTTTAATGTACTAGTGGAGTGTGGTGTCACCGCAGCACTCACTCAATGCACGCGCACTCACTGACACCAGGACGTGACAGACAGGTGCCATAAGACAGACAGGTGGCATTAAGAGGCCGTTCGTCTGGCGGCCGGACAACACAGCGTTTGACGTCAGCACGTACATTCCAGACACACACACAAAACAGGCAGAGATGATAAGGACAAACGGCCATCGCTGAGTATGCATAATGAATGCTGCCTGAGCGAGACGGACAGAAAGAGGGGAGATACACGTACAAACAAACACATACACACAGACGAACACACACAAACACACACACACACACACAGGGAACATACAGAGATGATAAGGACACGGCGACCGCTGAGTATGCATAATGTATGCTGCCTGAGCGAGACGGAGAGAAAGAGGGGAGATACAAGTACAAACACACACACACAGACGCGCGCGCACACACACACACACACACACACACACACACACACACACACACACACACACACACACACACACACATACACAAATAGACACACAGACCATTTGACAGTCACGTTTTTTGTTTTTGTTTTAGTAGATGTTTTAGGGTGCTCGCAACTGCATAATAAGGTCATATGGCGACCGAAGAATAAAGTTGTTACAAGAGATTAACATACACAAAAAAAAAAGAAGTAGAGGAGATAAAGACGAGAGACGTTTGATAGAATAGAAGGAGCATACCACATCAGAGCACCCGCCAACCGCCCACGCCTTTACAACAAACCCCAGCGAACAATAATGACGCACGGAGCGATCAATAAGAGAAGAGCGTAAACATCAAAGTCTATAGATCTAAAAGCTCTCGAGAAATATATGTCAAGAACCTACGGAGTAACGAGTTCACGTATCTCACGGCTATAATTATAATATTATTATACTGAAAAAACCCCATAACATTCACAAAATCTGAGGGACGCTCTGAAGATCAGCAGATAAACGTTATTGCCCCACAATGGAAATTTTGTGTTGATACATATACCAAAATATCAATATACAACAATGATTCAGCTTCTTTAACACATTAGTTTCAGTTAGCATTTTACGGCACTTGCGACACATTTAGGTCATGGTAAGTGCCGAAGATTAGGAGTGTTAAGAGGTGTTTCAAGAGAGTAACAAACATAAAACAGAAGAAGGGGAGATAAGGACGATAGATGTTTGATAGGAAAGAAGAAGCAAACCACACCAGAGCACCCGCCAACCACACTCACGTAAAGGTTTTACGGCACTCGCAACTGCATAAGGTCATATGAGCGTCAAGAGGTGGACGTCAACAGAGAAATCCTTACAGAGAACCAGGCTTACTCTGCTCACGTCTCTGGCTTCAACAGCACAAAGTCTGCTTCGACTATCAAGGCACCAAGGAAATAGCCGGTCACTAGAGTGTGACAAACATACAAAAGCAGTAGAAGAAAAATTACTATAGTAAGGATTAGGAAAGAAAAAAGCAGCAGTTCCCAGTTTCAGTTCAGGCACAGATATGAGCATGACATTGTTGAATCAGCCCATTTACAATTCTACTGTGCATAAGAACAGGTTAAT